GCCGAGGTTGTATTATAGGGTGAATGTTGAACAGCAGCTTCCTGCCCGTTTGTCTTCTGTAGCGTGTCACTTTGCAAAAAGGGTCATTCCTTCGAGACGCTGAAGGGCAGCAGGCAAGTCCTTGTAGGAGTAGCTAGTGACCTGAAATGACTAGTGGGTATATAAAAAGACTAAAGACCTGCTGCATGGAGTAAGTGATCTTTTGATGATAGATGATGATCAAATAGCAGGTGTTGCTCAAGGTGTCAAGGTGGTTCTCCATGTCAGAGTGTGTCGTTACGATCAAAATCAGCGTTAGCAAATTGCAGTTAAGGTAGAGAAGACAGGACTGCCCTGAGCTGTCACACACAGCCCCATCGTGTGTGATGAGCAGTGTCAGCTCACTGCCTGTGCGCTGCGTGTGTTTGCTCATGGCCTCCGTTTGGCTCCGTGGAGCCCCAGCCTGGAGCAGCGCTGAGGACGGAGGCTCCTGAGGAGGCTCTGCCAGATGAAGGAATAGGCTGCAGGTCACGTTAGTTACTCTCGTCGTATCAACCTGTTAGGCGCAATCATTTTCCTGGTAGTTCATTGACCCCGTCTCAGTTACAGAGTCAGGCTTGGCTCTGTCCTCTGACTAGGAACGGGCTGCAGGCCCTCAGACCATAGTGTGGAGTGGGTTTTTCTATTACCTTTGGAAGTTTACATGTCCTGCAGCTTGCCCCTGGGATGCTCCCAGGAAAAAACAGCACAGTGGGCTGCTTGTTGGGTAGTAGGTGAAGCACACTACTTAGGGCTAAAGCACTACTTCCAGGGAGGCATTTGTGTTTGTCTGGGTGAAGAATGCATTGCTTCTCTCGGGGAGGTATCTTTTTAAACAAATAAACATGTATTTCTTTAAAGAACTAATTTCTCACTCAGCTTTAGGTGCTGAGTTTAGAGTAAGTCTGAGAAATGATAGGCAGTTTAAGTAAAGGCTGGGATATCTGCAAGCAGCTAAAAAACAGCAGGAATCTGACTATTGGTAATTATGCTGGGTGTTTGTAATCTACACAAGACCCAAAACTCTTGGGGCATGGTAATAAACAGATGTGTATTTTTGTTTTCTGTAAGTGAGCAAAATAAATATGTAATAGTTAATTTCCAGTTCTGAACTGAACATGAAGTAAAGGTAAGTTGTACTGGTGATATTAAAGCTGGAATATCAAAAGCTGGAATATCAAAAGCTGGAATATCAAAAGCTGTTAAATGGAATATAAATGCTCTAAAGAGCATTTTATGTGCACTTCATTCTGACAGCCCAGTTTATATTGTAAGTCCATATACGTGTTCTCTAAAACGGGATCCAAAGAAAACATAGCACAGCCAAATGAAAACTGTAGCTGACTTTGAGCTCTGATTAATTTGGTTTTCATATAATCCTTTTCAGGGAAGTGAGAAAAACGTGAGAAAAAGATGATGCATTTTGGCATAATTAACTTTGTGAACTCTAGAAGAAATTTCTTTAAAAAAAGACTCCATCTGCTTTAATTGGAACTGTTTTTTCTGAATGTCAGTATGGACCAAGATGCTTGTCCAATTTCACGTTTGGGTCTCTGCAGTTCTCATTATGTGCATGAAGTTCTGCAAATCATAACTCACTAGATTAACTAGTAAGTTCTTAAAAAATGTCAACAGCAAGCTCATCTGTAACCAATTTCTAACATTAGAGCCCACTGGACTTCATCCTCTCCCCTATTAAGGGGATGATGTTTCCTAATTGAGGCGAGTGAGTGCATGCTTCTGCCATAAAGTTCTAGAAATCTCATTGATTTATTAAAGCATTAAATACCTAAAATTAAGTAACTTTCAAGCTGAAACAAACATAAAGCTAAAAGCAATATGACTTTTAAAGCCCAGCCTCAGAAAAGATGCATGGACAGATATATAATGCTTTAGTTAGCGGTTGCTGCCATTTCTCTTACAGATTGTTCTTTAGGGTATTGTAACTCAGCTGTTTTTAAACCCATCACTCTGGAACCTCGCCTACAAAATGTCAGCGCAAGTGCAAATTTTACTTCTTTAACAAAATAAAGGGCTTGGAGCAGTTAGGCTTTCTAAAGTTTTATGGCAGTAAAATAAATTTTGCTACTTTTGCTTTGCTGTAACAGGAACCGTACTGCTGACGTTGTCCTGCCAGCAGGTAGGGACAGAATCCAAACCAGTTCAGTTGGAGACACACCGTGTGTTCTAACTTGTCATTTTAAAAGAAGAGAAGCCCCATGTCGGTGTGTAAATACACTCGTGTTAGTGTCGTTCTGTGCTTTCGGCAGAGGGCACTCTCCCTTGGCTGGGTGGAGTGATGGTTGCTTTAGCAGAACATTTCTGAAGTTGGAAGCCAGACTTGGGTGCCAGTTTATTAAAGGAGTTTAATCTGAGTTGAGGTTATCTTTCCTACCGATTCAGGAGAGAAGCCCACCCTTCTGCACATGACCGGTACATCTCTTTCCAGATCCGCTCCCGTGGAGCGCGTTAACCTTCCCCCTCTCCCATCTGGCTTCTAAAGCTGCGTGATGCCAACCCATTCACCTTCCTTAATGCTCTCCTGAAGTTAGAGCCTTGACACATACTCCAGGCAGGAGCATGCAGTTGTTGCGTAGTTTGTGGATACTAAAATGGGAATTTCTTGTCTCGCGGGTTGTGATGGCCAAGTGTTAATGTTGGTACACTAGTTTTGGCTTAGTGCTTGGGCTTTTTTCTCCCCCAAAGGTTTGGGGAATTAACTTTCTTGCACATAGCTGCTTCTAGGGCAGCAAGTCACACACTCAGCCTCTGCTTTCAGCTTGGATCTTTGCAGAAGGAAGATTAGGTAATAGTTTGTGTAGAAAACATCTGTTTCTTAACAATCTCACCCGGTTGCTTTTTTTTTTTTTTTGTTGTCCTTCTAACAAGAAAGTCCTTTAGTCTTTTAAAGACTTAAAAGTCTTTAAGTCCTTGTTGGATATTAGAGTTGCTGTGGTTTTAGCACGCTCATGTTCTGGATCCTTTGTTAGCTTAAGTTATTAGCCTTAGATAAGTGTTGTGGGATGGAAGGACTGCTTTCTATTGTCAGCGCAATTTCTGAATCTCTGGACAATTTGTCTGGGTTAGAATTTGAGTTTTTTTGGCTCCAGTGTCTGTTTAGACCTTTGCCTTGTCTGAGGAAAAGATGTTGTTAAAATAATTAAGCCTAGCATGCATAAAAAGAGAACCTTTCCACAAAATTAAATTGCTTGAGGTTTATTTAAGTTTTGGGTTGCTTAAATAAATTGGCATTTTATTTTATTTGCTTACAAGCAACTTAGTATCTCTTCTGGGGAATCTCTTTTCCATGTTTTCCACAGCTCTGAGGGTTTCCCAACAGTCCTCTACACTCAGCAGTTCTTTGTTTTACATCAAAATGCATTTTATATGTCTAATTGCTACATTATTAGTATACATTTCTTCCAACCCCTTTAGAATTTTTACTGTGGTATGTGTCTATTATGGAAAGACCTAATATATAGGTTGATTAGGGTATAATCCTTTGGTCACTGTTTTCTTGAGAGTGCATTGAGTTCAGCCTGCTGTTTTCAGGGGAAAGTCTTCACTGTGATGCTCTGTGTTCTTGTAAATAAATTTAATCCTGTATTTGTTAGAAGTCAAGAAACTTTTTTGTATCTTGGTGCCAAAATCAGGGAAACTTGCAACAGAAATTGGGTGCATTAGCTACAAGTCCAAGCACTTCCTTTTCTTCCAGTCCCAGTGCAGGAAGTGCTGAGCTGCTCTCTGTGGGTTTTGTTTTCATCTATTGCGAGACTAGCATTCAAGAATTGGGGCTAGTTTGGCTTGTGACCCTGGGAGGAGAGAGTGATTTGAAAAATACGTTGTAATTGGCTGGGAAGCGTTTCCTTTTATTTGCATGTATCTTACGGGGGGGTGGTGGGTAAATTAGTAACGTGATGACCGGTGGATCACACTCTGTTACTTAACAGTGTGCGCTGGCAGCCCAGGCCAACCGTATCCTGGGCTGTATCCGGAGAAGTGTGGCCAGCAGGTCGAGGGAGGTGATTCTGCCCCTCTACTCTGCTCTGGTGAGACCCCACCTGGAGTACTGTGTCCAGCTGTGGAGCCCTCAATATCAGAAGGATATTGACCACTTGGAGCGAGTCCAGAGGAGGCCACGAAGATGATCAGAGGGCTGGAGCACCTCTCCTATGACGAAAGGCTGCGAGAACTGGGCTTGTTCAGCCTGGAGAAGAGGAGGCTCCAAGGAGACCTCATTGCAGCTTTCCAGTATCTGAAGGGGGCCTACAAGGGTACTGGGAGAGGACTTTTTACAAGGGCCTGTAGTGATAGGACAAGTGGTAATGGGTATAAATTGAAAGTGGGGAGGTTTAGATTAGATATCAGGAAGAAATTCTTCACAGAGAGGGTGGTGAGGCACTGGAACAGGTTGCCCAGAGATGTTGTGGATGCCCCATCCCTGGATGTCTTCAAGGCCAGGCTGGATGTGGCTCTGAGCAACCTGGTCTAGTGCAAGGTGTCCCTGCCCATGGCAGGGGGGTTGGAACTAGATGATCTTTAAAGGGCCCTTCCAACCCTAACCATTCTATGATTCTATGATTAACTTGTTTGGCGTCATGTGGCTGAACCTCCCTCGTCTGGTCACACATGTCACGATGTAATTTGAAGCAGGGTGTGCAAATGCACTCGGTTTATCTTTATGTTCCTCACTGTAACGCAGCTCTTGTCAACAGCAATAATAAAACGACATTTTTCTATCTGCTGCAGAATATACATAGCTTGCATCTCGGTGCTGGTTCTGGTAGTGTTTATCGTGATAGGTTAAATGAGATCAATCTTCAATGTAGGTGTAAATCAAGTCGTCATTTCCTATTTTAACGTTGCAACCTAATTACGACGTTAAAAATGGCCATCAGAATATCCAACTTGCATTCCAGTTTTAAAAGCCTTATTTAAAATGATTTTTTTACTAACTCTCCTCTCTCCTTTTACATTTCCAGTTTGCGGGCCAAATGTTGACATTCGCAATGATATCCATGAGCTGAAACGCCTGGAGAACTGTACGGTAATTGAGGGTTTCCTTCAAATTCTGCTCATCTCTAAAGCAGAGGATTACCGCAACTTCCGCTTCCCAAAGCTCACTGTCATAACTGACTATTTGCTGCTGTTCCGTGTGGCAGGCTTGGAAAGCCTCAGTGATCTCTTCCCCAACCTCACAGTCATTCGTGGGAGGAACCTCTTCTACAACTATGCCTTGGTTATCTTTGAAATGACTAATCTTAAAGAGATTGGGCTTCACAACTTGAGGAACATAACTCGCGGGGCCATCCGGATTGAGAAAAACTCTGACCTGTGTTACCTCTCCACGGTGGACTGGTCTCTCATCCTAGATGCAGTGTCCAATAACTACATCGTTGGGAATAAACCACCAAAGGAATGTGGGGACTTGTGTCCAGGAACAATGGAAGAGAAGCCATTGTGCGAGAAGACATCCATCAACAATGAGTACAACTACCGCTGCTGGACCACCAACCACTGCCAGAAAAGTAAGATTTGAGTAGATTGTGTGGTTTTGTTACCTCTTTTTGAACTAAAGGTTTAATTTTATGGTTTGATTTTAAGCCCTTCAGCACCCTAAACTTTTATTCTAGTTGTGTGTAGTCCACAGAACAGGTTGCCCAGTTATCGCACAACGGTTGGATTCCTCTCCAACCAGTAAAGAGTCATCTCACTTGATTTAATAACTAAACAAAACAAGCCGAAACCAGCAAGAACAAAAGAAAGCAAAAACCCAACAACAAAACCCAACAAACTGTCTGGGTTGCTTCCCCATGGAAAAGATGCAAAGTAAGTGTAGAATTAAAGCCATTACAGCAAATCTGGAAGCAGTTACCTCCCTTGAGGAGTTTGGCAGGAGGTGGCTGTCGAAAGCCGTCTCCTCCTCCTTACTGAAGTGGTGTTAGGTTTGTGCCAGTCACTGCTCTACTGAAGCTGTTAACTGGGCTTACTTTGACTTTGTTCTTTGCCTCCCTTGGCATGCATGTTCCGAAATTCCTGTAATGGTAAATGCTGTACCTAAGAACTCTTCAGTGAAATCAGTTTTTACAGTACAGTCTGTAGCGTCAAAGAGTCAGTGGATATCTTCACTCTTGGTGAAATTATCCTTGCCTCTTTTTGTTCTTATCTGGCATGGCAGGGTTTATGTCTTTCTGATAGCAAGTATTAGCGAAAACAAAACCTGATCTCTTCTCACTTTTTAAAAATAGAGTAAACAAATACATAGTTTACTCAAATAACATGATTACATGGCAGGCTTTTTGAGTTCATCCTGTAACTTTACGAAAGCTGAGCCCTGCAGTATCAGTAGGGCTTAATTACAAGCAGTCGTCACTGGGAGGAACAGTTCCTAAATTCCACTTGCAGACTTGACCAAATCTGCTATAATGATAGAAACACCAGACAGAGAGAAAACAGGAACAGGGCAGTATTCAGATTACCTTCATTTGGGGACACTGTTTTCTCTAACATGCTTCATCAGTTGCTTCTGAAGTCCTCATGTTCAATTAGAACTGAAATGACAGTATCTTGTAGAGCAGTTTCAGCCAACACATGCTAAAAATATCTCTGAAAAAGGGCATTTGTAGGGCTGTGCTTCTTACAGGAAATAAAGTTTGTTTTTAAACAAAGAAAATGCCTCAGCCTATTACAGGGAGATGCTGTGATTTGTCCAAGGTGAGGGAGGTGAGCTGCCTGTTGCTGTGAGTCTAGGCTTCTGCAGACCAAATTTATGTCCTCATTGAGAGACTGTGACTCCAGTGTCTGCAGAGGGTGACCCAGGTGGTTCCTGTGCAACCTCGTTGCCTTCAGCACTTTGAATGGATGTAACGAGTGTATTTAATGAGCTGTAACAACTTGCTCTCTGTTGTGAGCTCTGGCTATTTGGAGTAGACAGAAGTAACGTGCAAGAAAAGCTTGTTGACTTCTAAGAGAATGTAAAAGTAAATTGAATCCCAAATGCACGTGAGAGGAGATCTGTTGAAGTAAGATGAGGTCATAGCTGTACTGTGATGGCAGCACTTTTAAGGCAAGGGTGTAGGCCATGTTTTTCTGTATGCTTTCATCTTCCTTTCCTGGGAGATTGTGAAGAAGAAAGCAGCTATTGGAAAAGAGCCTCGAAAGGCTTGTTAAGAACATCAGGCTATGGAAAAACAATGTAGGTGTAGAGTATCTTAGGATGGAGAGTGTAAAAAGAAATGATCAAGTTCTAATCACTAAAAGGAGTGAGAAAGTTGAACTTACATAATCTGTTTGTTGTGGTAAGTCACTGACTTCAAGGAAGAAGACTTTTAAATTTGCCAGTTATTCATCTAAAAAAAACCCAAACCAAAACAAACCCCGAAGTACTCCCATTCTGAAGAAAAACATGGGAGGTATAAATGTGCAGTTGTTCAAAAGGAAGCCTTTTGTCTGTCCTGCTAGATTGCTTGGACGCTTTGGCAGTGAAATCCTGATCTGGAGAGGGCTCTTGCAGTACAAAATTACACAAGACATCAAAAAGAATAGAAGCAAGGGCTTTTAAGTTACTGAGTGTTTAAATCTGCATTTTCCTGCCAGTAGGGATAGGAGACGTATGTTATTTTCCAGGGAATATTTTTCTGGCGTAGTATCTAATTTAACCCTGACATTCTCCTTGTGCGTCACAGTAACGTTAAACTGCAAATGCCGTCTATCACTCAAGGTTCCTTTATGCCTTTTTATCTTTCTTCGCTCGGGATCTCTGGAGGAGTGTGTATTAAATCTCTCTTGTCCTTGTTTAGGTTTTACGCTGAAAGATACCAAGTTCCTGGGTAAATGTTGTGTGGGAACGCTTAGTACTTTTAAGTAGCCTGGCTTCTGTTTAGTTTTGCCGTTGAGTGGAAGTTGCCTTTTTCCTTCTTTTTCTTGCTCACAAACAAAGGAAGAACCCTGTGCTTCCTTCAATATAACTTGTGCAGGAACAGTGTTGAGGGAGGAGAGAGGGAAGGATATGCCGTGTTTGAGAATAATCCACTGACTTTTCTAGAGTAGAACAAGCTACAAAGAAGCTGTAACTTTTTTTTACTACTTTATTTTTAAGGTTCAGCATAAAGCAGCAGCGGCTTCTCTGCTGGTGTTGTTGCCCTGGTTTCTGTGTAGTATATACATTCCTTTACCTTGGAGTGCCCCAAGGCAGCAGCCTCGCTGGTTAGCTCGCTTTGGAGTTGCGGCATGCTGTGTTGGGTTTGGCATGCTAATGTCCCTCTGACTTGCACCTACTTTTCTTCTGGTGTATCAAATGCCAGCTGTGCTTCGCTTGGGTTGCAGGGCCACGTAGAAGAATCCCTCAAGTTAAAAGGAGAGTACTGAAGTTGTTTGCATCCGTGGTTGTGCTTTGGGGCACAGGTAGAGATGGAGAAGATAAAAACTGAGCGTCCAGACATACAAATAAGATTAGGGCCTTTTGTTTTTTGGTTGGTTTTTTTTTTCCTGGCAGTTGTGACTGCTGGAAACGTTTATGGAAGCTGCTTCTTACTCAGCGATTGATGTGAGAACCAGAAAAACTGTTCCTGCTGCACCCTGTGAAAGAGTAGTCTCTGGTGACACGTTTGCTTTGCCTGTGCACTGGCCGACTGTACAGAAAACTTCTGTTGTTTTCTATGTTCCTTTGGCTGATGACTAAGTTCTGAGGTCTGCTGCCTTAGTCACTAGGCAGAAACCTAAGCCTTTCTGTAAGCCTGCAGAAACCAAATGTAAATTACAACCTTGAAAGCTTGTCTGGAAGTTCAGGATCCCTTGTCCACCATAGCCTCTGTGCTTTTTTTTGGAAAAGCCCACTTTCCTGTTCAGATTGAAGAAGGAGTAGGGGTCTGGTTATGTGGAGGACAGGCTGTTAACACCCACTGTAGTGGGAGAGTGGCTTGAGCTGCAGCTTCTGGGTGAGGGGACGAGAGCAGAGTCTGGAAGCCTGGATCCTCCCTTTATGAGAGCAAATTATGGGGCTGCACAAAGGGACAGAATAGCCACGCTTCCCGTACAAACGGTGGAGGTGAGTGTCTGAAGCACGAGGGACCTTTAAGATATTAGACTTGGGGCTGGCATTAAAAACTGGTAGGTTTAAATTGGCAGTGTAGAGAGAACGTGGATTAGGCCCCTAAGCATTAAGCACTTGTTTCAGAAAGGGCGGTTTTGACGTGAAAAACAATAGCTCACATAGACTGCGCTTCACAAGACAACAGGAGGAAACTTTCAGCTTCTGAATGAGTAGAACTGAAGACCGCGGAAAAGGCATGTGAGGATTTGGAGACTGATAAGGAAGCAGATGGCAGCTAAGCACAAAATGTTTTTAATGAAAATGTATCCTTATTCCTTTTTGAATTGGTTTGACAGTGGCCTGAAAAGATGTGGTGGATGTGGGGAATGAGGAACAGGAGGGAGAGAATGACAGTGAGTGGGAAGCGTGGTCCATATGTACCTTCCAGTGAAATGTTTAAACATATGGAGACAGTAACATGATGTATTCTCACAAATATTCGGAATCTGCTCCTGTTTGTTTACACGGAGCTCAAAAGATAATGCAGTTGAGTGGTATCGTTTGACATAGCTTCATTGACTTGTGCAGTACTTACGAGCATACGCCATCTGGGAATCTGCTCCCTGTTGATTCAGCAGAGTAGTGGTGAGAACCGTGTGCTGGGATTCTTTTTTCCCCTCCCCTTCTCTCATGTCCCAGCCTCTCTGAGGAGTATTCGGTGTATTTCCCCGTCCTTCAGAAACACGGAACATACGTGAACTATGTAGGCACAAAGAGAGAGAGGAAGAAGCTGGGAGCCAGACGTGCTGAATCAGATTGCGCTTATTTTGCTAAAAATGACATCTGCATGCTTTTTTCTGCTTGCTGCTGCGTTTAAGCTTTTTTGTGTTAAACCTTGAAGTCCAGTAGAAATTGTGTATATCAGCAGAGGACAACATGCTTTAAAACTTTATTTTTTGAGCAACCAACTTTGCTGCGATATGTTAGGTGAAGCTGGACTGTGTAATCCTCATCCTACCTTTGTTGGGTTAAAAAAATGTGTATAAACCTGAAAATATTTTGGAATGGGCAGGTCGTTTGTACCTTTTGTTGGTATGCAAACTCTCCAGCAAAAAAAAAAAATCTTCTAAAAGGAATAAACATGGATCAACCCTGCAAAAAAATAATAAAAGGCGCTGTTGGTGTCACTGAGTTAGAAAAATCTGGAGCATGTCTAAAAAATTTTGTTCATGTTTTCGTTCTGAATGAAGTTTTTTCCTGACTTTCGCTCCCCTCCTGAGAAGCTTGCTCTTCAGCCAAAGGTTTCCCAGAATTTTTATTATGGCTGTGAGAGCATATTTAATTAGTAAGCTGGAATGGCCACAGAGCAGTCTAGGCCAATCTGCAGTTAATTACTGTAGCAGTGGTTTATATTCTGAGAAAAGGGCTAAAATTAAACAAATGTATACTTGCCTTTTTTTTTTGTTATGTTGCAAAATGCCGTAACCTGGGAAGATT